ACGACACAGGTTGTGTGTTAAATTTGACACAACATGTGTTGTCCTTGAGCAAACACACTACATGTGTTAAAATCTACAAAACGGGTTAAAATCTACACAACATGTGTTAAAATCTACACAAAATGTGTTGTCCCTGAGCACACACACTACATGTGTTAAAATCTACACAGCATGTGTTAAAATCTACACAAAATGTGTTGTCCCTGAGCACACACACTATATGTGTTAAAATCTACACAGGATGTGTCATTTTTTAACATCTCTTTTTACAGGTTGTGTTATTTACAAAATCATTTTATAAGAGTGCACCAGTGTAAATAAAACTTATTTACACACAATATTTTGTCAGTTGCTACATTTTAATCTAATTCAAAGTGCAAACTTAGTGAAATCACACTCCCTGTGTTAAGAACAATAACACACTGGTTGAGTTAAAAGTAACACAAAATGTGTTGTCCTTAACTAGACACACAGGTGTGTTAAGATATAACACAGGTTGTGTTGTTTTTAACACATCCATTTTAAGAGTGTACCTTAAAGGTACATATTAGCACCTAAAATGTATTAGCACCTGAAATGTACACAATAGCACCTGAAATGTACATATCAGCTCCTGAAATGTAAATATTAGCACCTGAAATGTACATATTCACACCTAAAATGGACATATTAGCACCTGAAATGGACATATTCGCACCTAAAATGTACATATTAGCACCTAAAATTTCTTATGAAATGCTGAAAAACTCCCTCAGTGCTTTTCAAAAAGCTATGAAATCTGCTAAGTCTAAGTATTTTTCTAATTTAATTTTAAAAAATCATCATAGCTCAAAAGCCTTATTTTCTGTGTTAAAGTCTGCTCTCAATCCTCCTATAACTGTGATTTCAAATCCTTCAGTATCATTATGTGAAGGTTTCTCAAGGTTTTTCTGTGAGAAGATCACTTCTCTCAGATCCCAGTTGCAATCATCTGCTAATGTCCTGTTTGCTGTCCCGACTGGAGTCCTCTGTGGGCATCCAGGGAACTGTCCTCAGCTGGTTTAGATCTTATCTAACAAATAGAACTTTCTCCGTCAAACTGGGTAATTATTCTTCCTCACCAGCCCAACTCTCCTGTGGAGTGCCGCAGGGGTCTATCCTCGCACCCATTCTTTTTTCCATTTATTTGCTTCCTCTTGGCTCCATTTTCAGAAAGCATGGTGTATTATTTCACTGCTATGCAGATGATACACAAATTTATTTCCCTCTGAAACGCAACAAAGAGACTGCTCTAAAATCTCTTTTTGCATGCCTAGAGGAAGTAAAAATGTGGTTTTCTCAAAATGTTTTGTTCCTGAATGATTTAGGTTATAGTCTTTGGCCCCCATGACAACTATGATAGCAGCAACATTGATCTGAACTATCTTGATCCAAAGTCATCTTGCATCAAGAACCTTGGCGTTCTCTGGGATCCAAACCTCAAATTTGAAAAACAAATCAATACGGTGATTAGTGCTTGCTTTTTTCAGTTACGCCTTCTCTCTAAAATTAAATCTTCCCTTTCTGAGAAAACACTAGAGATTGCCATTCATGCGCTCATTACATCACGGTTGGATTATTGCAATTCTCTCTACTTTGGCATACCCAAACACTTTATTGCTCGTCTCCAACTAGCTCAGAATGCTGCTGCAAAGTTCCTCAAAAGAAAACGCAAATTTGATCATGTTTCACCTATCTTAAAATCTCTACACTGGCTACCTGTGCATTTTAGAATCGAGTATAAAATTCTTTTATTTGTTTTTAAATCTGTAAATAACTTTGCACCAAGCTATCTGTCTGAGCTACTCTGCCCACACAACCCCACACGATCCCTGAGGTCTGGTGATCAGAGTCTACTGTCTGTCCCCTGATCACGGCTAAAGAACAGAGGGGACAGAGCCTTCGCTGTTGCTGGCCCTAGGCTCTGGAACAGCCTTCCAGTTTATATCAGAGCTTCTCAATCTTTAACTGTTTTTAAATCCTCTCTTAAAACATATTTTTTTTCTTTAGCTTTTAGCTCATTGTGAGTTTTTGTTATGAATGTGTGGTTTGTCCTTGTATTTTCTGTCTTTTCTTTTTTCTCTTCATCATGTGTATTGTTCAGCACTTTGGTCAGCCTTGTTTGCTGTTTTTAAATGTGCTATATAAATAAACACAAACTTGAAACTTGAAACATATTAGCACCTAAAATGTACATATTAGCACCTGAAATGTACACAATAGCACAAATGTACATATTAGCTCCTGAAATGTACATATTAGCACCTGAAATGTACATATTAGCACCTGAAATGTTCATATTCACACCTAAAATGTAAATATTAGCACCTGAAATGTCAACGCATTCTCACCCCAAGGCGTCACCTTTGACCATGCTTCAATATTTGACGTTTTAGGCGCCCTTTAGCGTCACTTACATGACGCGATCCTACGGCGTCATCTAACTGACGCTAAAGGAAAGCGTCAGTTAGAGGACGCGGTTAGGTTTAGGTGTGGGGTGGGGGTAGGGTACACGCGATCCTAGGGCGTCATCTAACTGACGCTAAAGGGCGCCTAAAGCGTCAGATATTGAAGCATGTCCAAATGCTTCCCAAGGCGTCAGTTAAGTGACGCCTTGGGGGTGAGAATGGGCTGGAAATGTACATACCCAGATAGCAGACTGACATTGAATCAACGTGGAAATATGACATCGAAACAACGTTGATCTGACATTGTTTTGCTCATCGAATTAACGTTGGACCAACGTCAGACGCGTCATTCTTTCAAAACTAACGGAAAATCAACTTGAAATCAACGCGTTGTTTCAACGTTATGAAAGCAAACCAATTTTCGATTTTCATTTAGCTTTGAAGAATGCCGCGTCTGACGTTGGTTCAACGTTAATTCGATGAGCAAAATCAACGTTGTTTCAATGTCATGAGAGACGTCGTTTCCATGTTGATTCAATGTCAGTTTGCTGTCTGGGTATTCACAACTAAAATGTACATATTAGCACCTGAAATATATATATTCGCACCTAAAATTTACATATTAGCACCTGAAATGTACATAGTCGCAACTAAAATGTAAATATTAGCACCTGAAATGTAAATATTAGCACCTAAAATGTACATATTCGCAACTAAAATGTAAATATTAGCATCTGAAATGTACATATTAGCACTTGAAATGTACATATTCACACTTAAAATGTACATATTAGCACCTGAAATGTTCATATTCACACCTAAAATGTACATATTCGCACCTAAAATGTAAATATTAGCACCTGAAATGTACATATTCACACCTAAAATGTGCATATTAGCACCTGAAATATATATATTCGCACCTAAAATTTACATATTAGCACCAGAAATGTACATATTCGCAACTAAAATGTAAATATTAGCACCTGAAATGTAAATATTAACACCTGAAATGTACATATTAGCACCTAAAATGTACATATTCGCACCTAAAATGTAAATATTAGCTCCTGAAATGTACATATTAGCACCTGAAATGTACAAATTTGCTCCTAAAATGTAAATATTAACACCTGAAATGTACATATTAGCACCTGAAATGTACATATTCGCACATAACATGTTCATATTCACACCTAAAATGTACTTATTAGCTCATGAAATGGACAAAAGTTTACCTTTTGTTAAGGTACAGCCCCAGTGACAGCTTTTGTACCTTTTTTCTGAGAGTGTATAGTACACTTTTAAAAATATATGTTGTTAAGATTTGTAGAACACCACAGTGCACATTTAACACAATCAGGCACACTTATTTTTCACTAATATATATGCATCATTATCATAAGTTCATAACAGGAATACATTTATTAAACACGTTGCATACACACTTGCTTTGCGAAGGCATGCACTCGGAGACCTACAACGAAGGCTGTCTGGTCAGCCATGTAAAATATGTGTCTGCATTTGAAGGCAGATTGTGTCTCGCTGTGGGTCAGTGGCTGTTAGAGATGCAGGCAGGAAGGATTAGTTCCTCACGAAACACAATCCAACACACACTCAAAGTGCAGAGAGCTTGCCAGGTGCAGCCAAGCAGGACCAACAGGAACCAGCTTTAAGATCCTAAGTGGCCAATTACAAGTATCTTCCATTAAACAGGATTATCGACAGCAACAAAAAGAAACCAGAACTGTCTGTGTATTCGAAGAGAAGCGCTGGCTTCATGCCTTCAGACTTGGCAATCGACTGGATTCTTACAACATGTTTCGGTGCTGTAATATTTGTTTTTCAAACCCTGACTAAAGCTGTTGCACACACACATATACTGTGCCCAGTCGTCCCAGCAGGTGGAGCTGCAGATTAACCAATACTATTGCAGAAAATCCAGCTTTTAGTGTTTTTTATGTGTCTATGTGGTGTTTTAAATATGTTTTAAGTCAAACCATATGCAAATTCACAAGTCGACAGTATTGCTGAGTATTATCTCCTTAAAACTGCAGTGAACCAAAGACAGTCTCAAAAACACAGTTTGAAATCGCTGGTGTTTCTGACGTCACACACAACCTTGTAACCAATCCTGCACATTCACTGTCCTCAAGACTGCGTCTGCTGGACGACTCAACAGTTTTTAATGTTTTTATATCAAGTTTTTGCTTTAGTATGATTTTCAGGACGATTAAGGCCGGTTTCAGGATTCAGGACAATAGCTTAGATTTCGGGACTGTCCTGATTTTTTCGGGACTTCAGATCTGGGACTCCAGATCCACACAGGGAGCGCCTGTGCCCGACAGATCCACACAGGGAGCGCCTGTGCCCGCCAGATCCACACAGGGAGCGCCTGTGCCCGACAGATCCACACAGGGAGCGCCTGTGCCCGCCAGATCCTCAGAGGGAGCGACTGTGCCTGCTACGTCCCCAAAGGAAGCTTCTGTCCCCAGAGGGTCCCAACAAAGAGGAAAACTCAGGAACCCTCAACATTTAACAAGACATCTTATAAAGGCCTCTTTGGAAACACCCATGCCCATCCAGTCTCCACAGAGGGAACCAGTGTCTGCCTCAAAGGTGTTCACACACTCCTCACATGGAGCACCCATGCAGGACAAGATAGGAGCTCGTCCCAAAGTAAAGATCCCTGAGCCTGAGATAGCGCCTCTGTCTTGTTCTCAGGCAGCTCTTGTTGTTAAAAAGATCTCCGAGAGGAGAGATGCTGAAATCCCTGAGCTGCGGAGGCAGAATACCCATAATGCACCAGAGCCCGAGTCTTCTGCAAAACTGAGGATCCCGAAGCAGAGGGAGAAGTTGAGGGATTGGTGGGACCATCAGCAGAGGCAAAAGGGAGTGTCTGTAAGTCCCTAATGTTTTTTTGGTTTTTATTTGTTTTTACTTATTTTAAAATTTATTCAAACAAGTAAATATTGTTTTTACCTTTGCTACTACTGTATGTTTTCTAGGACCTCAATTTAAAATCATTTTATATTTCAAAATGATTAAAAAAAGATACGCCTTTAGATTTTCTGTAAGAATCCCTCATTAAATCTGGTCAGCGTTACATGATTATGTCTGTTCCTTCAACAGGACAGTGCCGGAGTGGACAGGTCAGCCTCACAAAACAAGTAGCGGATGGCGATCCAAGTCAACGACCAACAGTCGGATCCAGGCGGCGCAGACCAAATGGATTATTTATGTTGCTTATTTGCAAAATGTCGTGTCATTTAAAATATTTAATTTTTATATTGTTAAACGTGTGAGTCTTATAATAAAAAAAAAATATAAACATACTGTGTATTCATTTATTTGTCAATGACAACACATTAATTAGTGTAATATAAACAGATCATTTTCATCTGATGTCACTGGGCTGATGAAATTCACACACTAAGCCAGGGACGGACTGGGACTAAAAAACGGCCCAACAATAACACCTGTCGCCTGGCATGAGCGTCACATGACTTTAATTGTGGCTAGTGATACTATACCATCCAAATGATAGCTAACAGCATATTCTACAATCTATTCCACGCTGTCTTAAAATTAATTTATTACTTAATCTTAACTAATTTATGCAGTAATTAATCTTAGCTTCTGCACAAATAATAATACCACATCTAAATGAAAATAGGCTACACCATTATAACTTCTGTATTCAAAATCTTCAAAGTTTGTAAGCATTAACTGTAACGTTAAACATTTTTAAAAGTAAAAGCTCAACATATTTCTTAATATTAGCGACTGCATGTGGCATTTTACAGCTAAAATGTTGAAGTTTAGCTTTACTGTAATCATTAAAAATGTAGCAAACTGAATATCACTTCCTAACATCACCCCTAGCAAGTAACTTGCAAAGTCATTTCTGATTAATTCTGTTCGGGAGTAGTGGAGATAAAAGCCCGCCCGCACTGAGAATTGATTGGTTGGGTCCTTACAAGATAGCAAAAATCATTTGGCCCAGATCTGGCCCAGACACGTCGCAAGTTCTCTGTCTTTTGGCACATTGGGCCAATACCGGCACGGCTCCGGTTTCTCCTCATCTGGACCAGAACAGCTCCGGATTCTTTTATGGTTGCTGATATTTTCTGCTGTTAGGTTTTAACATGAAATGCTTAGGCAATAAAAAGTTGAAAGTCCTGCTTTAGAAGTTTACACTAAAATGTACACTTTACCCTAAAACACCACCTGTGTTAGCACTAATTAATAATTAATAATCATGCATTAAAATTGCATAGTAAATTTGACATATTCAAGGGCTTTCTTTTGATCTATTTTCAATTTATTTGAAAAAAAAATGCAAAAACAGTGTAGTAATATACTGTAAGACTTGTGAATTTATTTGCGCCAAAATGCAAAAAACAGCATCCCAAAAATGTTCATAATATCATGAACTGCAAATACATCAACCAAACAGGGGTGCGTTTCCCGAAAGCATCGTTAGCCAACTATGGTCGCAAGTTGGTCGCAATTCCCATTGAACTCTATTGGTAACGACGGAACTTGCGATCATAGTTGGCTAACGATGCTTTCGGGAAACGCACCCCAGAACGGGTAGGAAAGCCACGGAACTACAAACCCCTTCATTCCCATGAGGCATCTGTGAACAAAAGACAAAGGGAAAAGCTGTTGGTTTTGTTGAGATCTATTGAAGCACCGTTCAGAGACAGACTATTGATTGACTATAAATGGACCTATATAGGTTAAGTTGAGTTGTGTTGTCTGAATTTGGGTTAATAATATAATATTATGACACTGCTGTTTTTTAGACACTCAACAGTAGATACTCATGTAATTAGCATTAAATAAGAAATCTGTTCAACATTATGTCTCTGGCTACAATGATCAACGTTTTAAAAACACGTTGCGAACGCTTCACTGATAGATGGATCCGCTGATAGACGCCTGCTTTTAAACGCTGTGTAAACTACGACGGTAATAGCCTGCCGAGACCAAAACTATGAGACGCCTGTGTTGAAAGTCAATGGAGCGCAGTGAAAAACTGTCGGACCTCTGTGGGAGGCTCGTTCTTTGCTGCACTGTGATTGGTCAATCTACATTCAAGGGCGTGGCTTAGCCAAAGGTGAATTTCCATATAATGCTTAAAATCATTGGTTGCTATGTTACTACCCAAGTCAATATTGAAATCACCACATTCAATTACTGATTTATTCTTTACACCGTCAACCAATTCTATTATTTTTTTTGTAAACAAATCAGTAGCAGGCCCAGGTGGTCTATAAACACAAGTAATTAACACATTTTTTCCTTTGTCATTTATAATTTCTATCGTTAATGCTTCCATCATATCAGTCACAGCTATGGTTTTAAAGGTCGTTTGGGACAAAAGGTCGTATCACTTTAAGGAGGGGGGTTTCAGTACTATGACGGGTCCTAAATCCCGATTGAAATTTATCAAGAAGATCTTGGTCTGTTAAAAATGCAGAGAGTTGGAGAAAGACAAGCTTCTCCAACACTTTAGACAGAAAGTGTATTGTGGAGATAGGTTGAAAGTTATTAATATCAGAAGGATCAAGACTTGGCTTCTCCAAAATGGCCTAATCACAGTATACTTAAAACAGGATGGAATAATGCTAGTGCATAATGAACTATTCATTATAGTCAAAACAGATGGGCCAATCACACCTAACACCTCTCTAAAAAGACGTGCCGGCATAATATCCGCTGGTAAGGTAGTCGGTTTCAGTTTTAAAATTAGCTCTGTCATTTTAATAAGATCAATTGGAGTAAAATGTGTTAACTGGACATTATTATGGATAGAATTAGAAGAATTAAAGGCATGATAGGTGGAAGAATTGAGAAAATTGGAGGCGTGATAGGTGAGGGTGCTCGAGTATAGAACCTCAATCTTATTCCTAAAAAAAATCAAGAAATTGTAAACAGAACTCAGGAGTAGCATCTAGATGTGAAGGAGCACTTTGTTTTTAGTGGTGCAACCAAGTCTAAATGATAAATGATAAATGGTATGTGGTGAGATGATAAATTGAACAAAGCTTTAAACAAAATGGCACACTTCATATAACTTTCAATCTTGCGTACTTATTTCATGTGTCCATTAAGTGCATGAGTGTCACATTCCACACACAGGAAACAGGGTAAATCCAAAAGCAGTAGTTTATTTGAGGATAATCCAAAATCATAAACAAGGCGAAACAGGGCGAAACAGAGTCCATCGGGCGGCCAGGGCGAAACAGAGAGTCCATCGGGTGGCCAGGGCGGTGAAGACCCCTCGGGCGGCCAGGGCGGTGACGCACTCTCGGGACCAGACACCAGTTCGAGACCAGACACCGGCTCGGGAACAGACACAAGAACTGCAACAGCCAGAAGAACAGACACAAACACAGGAACAAAAACTAGCTTTGGCGCTGGAACAGGCACTTGCTCTGCCTCCGGCTCTGGAACAGGCATTGGCTCTGCCTCCGGCTCTGGAGTGGGCACTGGCTCTGCTTCCGGCTCTGGAACAGCAGACACTGGCTTCGGATCTGGAACAGCAGACATGGGCATGTCCAGGATCCGAGCCAGACCCTCCAGATAGTCCAGGTCCATGAAGACAGAAGGAACGTGAACAGTCCCTGACTGGGCAGACGTGACGTGAACAGTCTCTCGCTGGGAAGATGTGACGTGTACAGTCTCTGGCTGAGCAGACGGGACGTGAACACTCTCTCACTGGGCAGACGGGACGTGAACAGTCTCTCGCTGGGCAGACGGGACGTGAACAGTCTCTCGCTGGGAAGATGTGACGTGTACAGTCTCTGGCTGAGCAGACGGGATGTGAACAGTCTCTCGCTGGGAAGACAGATGTGAACACTCTCACTTGGCAGACGGGACGTGAACAGTCTCTGGCTGAGCAGACGGGACGTGAACAGTCTCTCGTTGGGCAGACGGGACGGGAACAGTCTCTCGCTGGGAAGACGGGACGTGAACAGTCTCTCGCTGGGAAGACGGGATGTGAACAGTCTCTCGCTGGGAAGACGGGACGTGAACAGTCTCTCGCTGGGCAGACGTGCGTTTCCTGCCCCTTTTCCCTCCGTGACGGTGAGATGTTTGCTCTGAGCTGTCCCTCACTGGCCCAGGGTCGAAGGGGGCCAGGGTGGAGAGTGGTGTTGAACTCTTTCTCGACCACCTCCTCCTCCTCTACGACCTCCCCGGGTCCCACAAAAAATTACTAGGCGGGTTCCCTGAAAATAATCTCTCCTCTCCCGCTCAGTGGCTGGGGAAGAGAAGTTTGAAAACATACCGCTGGATTTAGGGTGTGACGGAGTCCTTCTGTCACGATCCACACACAGGAAACAGGGGTTAAATCCAAAAGCAGTAGTTATTTGAGGATAATCCAAAATCGTTAACAAGTCCAAGCAAGGCTCAAAATCCAAAGGCAATCCAACATACAGGAAACAAAACAAGAAGCAAGGAAAACAGGACATCAGAAGTGGCGTGATAAATGCAAGGACTCTGTGACACACACTGAAACAGAGAGGGTTATATACACAGGGAATAGTCAATGATAATGGGGAAATGCCTGAGTGCAATGATCAGTGATGAGGAACAGCAGAGTGCAACGATAAGACAAGGATTGTGGGAAATGTAGTTCATAAGTGAATGACACCGTGGGGAAGAAGGACATCTAGTGGACACCTGGGGAACACAAACCCAACACTGTGACAATGAGACTGTAGGGTGTCTCATTTTTCATTTTAGGTTTCAGAAGGTTGCTCATGCATAGTTTGTGTTTGATATGTGTCCTCAACACACACTTTTGCAGAGGCCTTGCCCGTCATGCACAGTAACGCTAAAGGCACCGGGGTGGCGGTGCCACCAACTTGAGCCCGTAATCGCTGCTTGCAGCTATATTTATTATTATTATTTGCATATTCACTCTCCTACAAAATCACCCCAATCAGTGCAGCCCTAGCATAAAAACAAAAGGTTAAAAAGGTTCAACCATGGATTTTGGCATCAAAAAGACGATCTGCATGTTGGAAAGTTTTTTTATATTTTACAAACAATATTTTGTGTTAGTGCATTGTTCCACAAAACAAGACTCGAAACTTTAAATTCAGAAATTTAAAAGGTTTTTGAATGATTTACATATATACTGTATTTTTGAGTAATAAACTTGGCAGTAAAATAGTTTCACATCATTCATCCATAAATGTAGTAATTTTTGGTAAGATAATGTCACATTTTTTTTCTAAAATTATGCTACAACATGGTTTGCACCTTCTCATTTTCAGTATTTTCTAAAATGTTTCAAATAAAAACACGAGAAACAAGAAAACACAAAACATAAAAAAGAACACAAAAAGAAAAAGAAAGAAGAGCCGCCAACTAAAGTGGGAAGGGAAGTAAAAAAGTGAACAGAGCACAGTAAGTGTGAACAGACTTGTCTGGGCAATCTGCTCGTCGTTCACACCTTACAAATTCAGAACTGCTGCAGATGAACATAAACATTTAAAAGGGATAGTTCACCCCAAAAAATGAAAATTGTGATCATTTACTTACCCTCATGTTGGTCCAGACAGTTGCAGTACCCCATTGACTTCCATTGTATTTGTTGTCCTATTATGAATGTCAGTGGGGCCCAGCAACTGTCTGGTTACGACATTCTTCAACATATCTTGGTTTGTGTCCATCAGAAAGAAAGAAACTCATACAGGTTTGGAACAACATGAGGCTGAGGACATGATGACAACATTTTTAGATGAACTATCCTTTTAATAAACTTGTGATGATGATGTTGTGGAAGTTTTTAAATGGAAATGTAAGTGGTGCTTGCTGTGACATTGAACAATCTACATAAAAGCATGAGTGACACACAGTTTTGGCTCAGACTCCAAAACTGGCACCAGTAACATTCAGACCCCCCGACTCTACAACCGTGCTCCTGCTTTTCATCGCACAGTCATCTAGATTCCCCAAAACCCAAATCTAATAAAAAACTACACAAATATAGAGTCATTACTCATATCAGTACTTGGTGAACTAATTGTGGGCTTGGCTAAATGCTTCCTGTTGTCAGACAATTGCTGACAGCATTGCGGCATAAGTGTCCTCCTTCACAACCACATGGACATCAGTTAAACGCCGAATCTAGACCAGCATCTGCTCTGCGACCCAACAACATGACTCGCACACGCCGACCCATCGCTCTGTTTCTCATGCTGTCTTCCCTGCATTGGCTAGGTGAGTCGACTTGCATTTCATTTGAATCTAATTATTCCACAAACTTGTGATTTACAATGAGAGAACATTTTTACTTTGTGAACTTTGTGGTGTAATTGCAGAGAAGCACAAAGCAACACTGAGTTGATTTTGCAGCATGCATAGTTGGTGATGCCTCTGTGTTGGTTAACACTTCTTCATGAGTGCTGCATTTTGAAGCCCCCCATTGCGTTGTGCTTACAGGAAGCTCTCTTGACCTTTCAAACCCAGCGGCTTCCAGCGATGAAGATCCTGCCGTCAACAGTAGAGATGCTCCCAAGAGACCCGTACTGCAGCCCAAAGAGACGGCCCCGCCTCAGTCCACCTACACACTCAAGAACCTTAAAGGACAAGTGTGTGTGCGGGCCCGTTTGGGAGGGGAGTATGTGGTGAGAGAGAACAAAGTAAGCATGTTATGCTCTCAGCACTTTTATTCCAGCTCTCAGCATATTCCTCTCGGGGTGAGAACTCACCACTAACTCTGGCAACGGCTCACCCCGCTGTCAGGCGACTATATGTGCAGAAGGGGTACAATAGCTTTCAACTGGGACAGATTCATTAAGAGTCCAACTTTGGAGCTTAACATATGAATATGCCCCATTTGGGAGTAATAAAGCAACAATATATATATTATATATATATATATATATATATATAGTCAACATTTGAAACCTTTCATCAAAGTTATACATGAATTTTGAACAATACTTTGTTGATTCACTTAAAATGTTGACTACTATTACAGGTTAATACCCTAAATGTACTAACTAAATGTACAGATTCATCATTACAAATTACAAGTTATTATTAAAGTAAGATGTATTTAAGTGAGTCAAAAACACTATAAATTTCAGCTAATTACATATTAATGTTAATTTACACACAATACATACATAAGTATTATTTTAAAAGTAAATTTTTTTGTGTGATAATTACTGTGCTAAAGTGTATCTTTTTCATGAGAGATACCTTTCAAATGAACTGGATTATGGGATATTATTAATCAATTTAAAAATAATTGCTAATTATTAATATATTATTAACTTATACACTGTTAGACCTTACCAGGTATTTTACAGTAAAATACTGGCAACAGGCCAAATTCTGACACTATCATACCATTTTCCATTAAAACAGTAATATACAGTAGAAAACAAAACTAGCCTACAGGAATATACTGTGAATTAACAGCTCTCAAAGTCAACACTCAGAGACTGTGTTCCTAATCACACCCTACACCCTCATTCACTATTCCCTACATTAGTTCACTAATATAGTCCACTTGAATGAAAAGAAGTGAGTGAATTGAGACACTGATGAACACCTGATAAGCAGAATCACTGAAGGACAGAGAAACAAGAACTGAAAAGAGAAACACAAGATCTACAACTGACTTCCAGCAACACAGAGTGTGAAAACAGTTTACAAACCAGTTTAACATTATTTTATTTCATACATGTACAAAAGTTCTTGTTGAGAATTAACAGAGATTTAATTAATAATAAAGTTTTTTGTCACCATAATGGAGATCAGTATTTGCTTTAGTAGGCCTCTTATCCCTGGATTTGTTACATTTATCTTTCTCTGACTGCTGTTACAGTGAGTCTTAAAACACATTTGTTGTAGCTAGAAAAAGTCAAGAGGAAGTTGATCTGGTGTTATTGGCTTCTGTGATGATGTCATGATCATTCTGGATATGTCTGATTTTCAGATCTTTCCTGTTTATACTCTTTGAATAAATGGGTATTTAATATGAAATATACATTAAGTTATGATTATAAAATAAATCTGTGAATATACAACATGAAATCAATATGTTGGTTAATCATGTCTTCTGAATAATATTGTAATCATATAAAACATTTAAATAATATCCTGCTAAAGTCAGACACACACAGACATCAACAATTATAATATTCATCTCAACAACGGTAACATTCAAAAGTTTCATGCAGCAGTGCATGCTGGGTTCCAGGATAGTATAAAACTCCCAGCATGCACTGCTGCATGAATAAAAAAAATTGCCACCATTATTGAGATTAATGTGCTAAATTTTGATATATTGGTGTTTCAACAATACTGTAGTGCATTTTTGGTTTATGTATGATATGTTAAAAACAAATAGTCGTAATTAATTGCTGTGGTTTCACGGTGGTCATAATGTAACACTTTTGGTTGAGATTTAAACTCTGAATAAGTAAAAATGAATTATTTAGTAAATGAATAGACCATATGACGATTGTCATGTTTTAAAAAAAATCATTACTAAACTGTGTGTCTGCACAAGTTCGACTTGCTTAAACACAGCGTCTAAAGAAAATATTGTGTGACAGCGTCAGCATACCAACTAAAGCAAACACTGATCTCTATGATGGTAACTTCAAACCAAACATTTTTAATTAAACATCTCAACAACATCTTTTATAGATGTATGACAGAAATAAAGCCATACTGGTTAATAATAAGTGTAATAATGTGTAATGGCTGAAGTCAGTTGTAGTTCTTGTGTTTCTCTATTTTCTGTTCTTGTTCCTCTTTCCTTCAGTGATTCTGCTTGTTAACAGCAGGTGTTCATGCTCAACAATCTCTTACATATTCCCTTAAATATCTCACTGCAACACTGCATCAATGTTAATTTTTACTCTGTAGTGTGAATTTTCCTGTGGGGTAGAAAGGGTTAACAGTGTAAGATAAAAAGACACTCCCACAAAATGTATTTTAACAGTAATAAACTGTAAGTTATAAAACAGGTTTATACTGGCAACACTGTTGCCAGTAGTTTACTGTAAAATATTGTTTTTTGGGTCACCGTTGTGCTGAAGAGTAGAGCCTGAGCTTCAGTCCAGGAGAAGATCTACAAACATTGATGATATGCTGCATGTTGCTTTATTTAAAAGGCCTGTCTGTGTTAGTTGCAGAATCTGGTGGAAATCTTTATTTACAAAAGTTAATTTTTATTGTTTCTAATTAAATAAGTTCACAATAATACCTTGCTCACATTATTAGTGCATTATACATTTAGTGGATTCTTTTAAGTTTGTTTCTGCAAGTTAAGTTAGTTAACTCAAGTTTTAGTCCATTTTTACAGTAAATAACTGGTTGCCAGTTATTTACTGTAAAAATGGACTAAAACTAATAAGTTGTATTTTTTTTAGTTAACTCGAGTTTTAGTGCATTTCTACAGTAAATAACTGGCAACAGTGTTGCCAGTATTTTACTGTAAAAAAACCTGGTAAGGTCTAACAGTGTATGCTTAACGTATGAATATGAACCATTTGGGATTAAAAGCATTTTGGGGGTAAATTAACTATATATATACACTCACCTAAAGGATTATTAGAAACACCTGTTCAATTATCTAATCAACCAATCACATGGCAGTGTCTTCAATGCATTTAGGGGTGTGGTCCTGGTCAAGACAATCTCCTGAACTCCAAACTGAATGTCAGAATGGGAAAGAAAGGTGATTTAAACAATTTTGAGCGTGGCATGGTTGTTGGTGTCTGAGTGTTTCACAATCTGCCCAGTTACTGGCATTTTTACACACAACCATTTCTAGGGTTTACAAAGAATGGTGTGCAAAGGGAAAAACATCCAGTATGCAGCAGTCCTGTGGACGAAAATGCCTTGTTGATTCGAGAGGTCAGAGGAGAATGGGCCGACTGATTCAAGCTGATAGAAGAGGAACTTTGACTGAAATAAGCACTTGTTACAACCGAGGTATGCAGCAAAGCATTTGTGAAGCCACAACACACACAACCTTGAGGCGGATGGGCTACAACAGCAGAAGACCCCACCGGGTACCACTCATCTCCACTACAAATAGGAAAAAGAGGCCACAATTTGCAAGAGCTCACCAAAATTGGACAGTTGAAGACTGGAAAAATGTTGCCTGGTCTGATGAGTCTGGATTTCTGTTGAGACATTCAGATGGTAGAGTCAGAATTTGGCGTAAACAGAATGAGAACATGGATCCATCATGCCTTGTTACCACTGTGCAGGCTGGTGGTTGTGGTGTAATGGTGTGGGGGATGTTTTCTTGGCACACTTTAGTGCCAATTGGGCATCGTTTAAATGCCACGGCCTACCTGAGCATTGTTTCTGTTTGGGTTTGTGTTTGTAGCTCCGGAGAATTTCTTCACAAATCCTTGATTTTCTTCTTTACCACTTATTTATAAACAAGCACTTTCTATTTTTATATTATGTGAACTTATCCTCGATAGTATTCCTTATAAAAACAATTGGATTGCTTTGATATCGCTACTTATATCCAACCTCCCTAAATCCTGGCTACTAGCCTTTAGCCCGCTAGCATTCCACGCGTGCCCTCTCGCCTATTTGATCGTCTCATTTTACACCCATTTCACTGAATCCTGGTTATTTCCGACATTTCAATCCTAAATTAGTAGTGATAGTTGTAGTATCACTACTAATTTACTGATCATCCGTTATAATGGCGAACATATCAGATGCGTGTCTAACATTACCTTTGAGTGCAGATGAAGACACATTCGAGCTCTTCACGGTGAAGCAGGAGCTGGAATACGTCGAGAAACAGATCCGCGGTCTGCTGGTGAAGCAAGCCGAGCTGCTGGATCGGCGCTCAACGCTTGAAGCATCACGCGCCGACGCTAACAAATCAAATCACTCTTTGACTCCGAGTTCATCTACGCCGTACGTTACTCTGCCGAGGAAGATGCGATCATCTAAGGCTTCATTCACTCCGGCACCGAAACAACATGGACCATGGATCACACAGCGGAAGACTCGAGCCAGGACCAGAGCTGCCTCTCCTCCCCTCCCGGTCTTTGAGATCTCCACCCGGAACCACTTCTCCCCTCTTCGCGAGCCGGAACGCGATGACGCCGTGATCATCGGCACATCCATAGTCCGCCATGTCCGTGCTAATTCGGATAAAGGTAAAGTGCGCACTCACTGCTTTCCTGGTGCTCGTGTTCTTGATGTTGCTGCACAGGTTCCCGAGATCCTGAACGGGGACGAGCGCGTCGGAGCTGTTGTGCTGCACGCGGGAGCGAACGACATCAGGCTGCGGCAGACGGAGGTTCTGAAGAAGGACTACAGGAGCCTGATCGAGACGGTACGCAGCACAGCGCCTAAAGCAGCGATCATCGTGTCTGGACCGCTTCCCACGTACAGACAAGGACAGGAAAGGTTCAGTAGACTTTTTGCATTAAATGAATGGTTAATGTCATTGTGTAATGAACAGGGGCTGCACTTTGTAAATAACTGGCATCTGTTTTGGGAAAGACCGAGACTGTACAGCACAGATGGTCTCCATCCCAGCCGAATCGGAGCGGCTGTGCTGTCGGACAACATTTCCAAGACATTACGCACCAGATGACTAATGAGTCAAAGTCCAAATTACAGCCTTTGCGGTCCAAACTTAACTAATAAGCATAGTGTGGAACATTATATAGAAACTGTGTCTATTCCTCGTTTAGTGAAGCCAAACAATAAATCTAGTGTAGGATCTAGCAAAAATCTTATTGTAATTAAACCAGAAAATCTAAATATCAGTCAACAAAAACAATTTCTAAAGCTAGGTCTCCTAAACATTAGATCGCTCACACCTAAGGCGGTTATCGTAAATGAAATGGTCACAGACAATAACTTCGATGTTCTGTGCCTTACTGAAACCTGGCTTAAACCAAATGAGTATTTCGGTCTAAACGAATCTACTCCGCCAGGATACTGTTATAAACATGAGCCTCGTCTGATCGGTCGTGGCGGCGGTGTTGCAACAATCTATAAAGATATTTTTAATATTACTCAGAAAACAGGTCACAGGTTTAATTCATTTGAAGTACTTGTGCTAAATGTTACGCTCTTAGATGTAAGAAGGAAATCTATATTATCTCTAGCCCTGGCTACTGTATATAGACCTCCAGGGCCATATGCTGAATTCCTAAAAGAGTTCGCAGACTTTCTCTCGGATCTATTGGTAAATGTCGATAAAGCAATAATTGCTGGAGATTTTAACATACACGTAGATAATACAAATGATGCTTTAGGGGCTGCGTTTACAGACTTATTAAACTCCTTTGGGGTCAAACAAAACGTCAGTGGTCCCACTCATCGTCTAAATCATACACTAGATTTAATTATATCATATGGAACCGATCCAACTGATATAGATATTATACCGCAAAGCGATGATGTCACTGATCATTACATGGTGACTTGCATAATACGTACTGCTGAAATATGTCATGTTGCGCCACGTTATAGACCAGGCAGAACAATCCCTCCAACCACTATAGATGGATTTTCAAATAGCTTACCTGATCTATCTAAGCTGCTAAGTGAACCCAAACAAACAGATGAATTAGAGGAAATGACTAGCAGTTTAAGCACCATTCTTACTAGTACATTAGATATTGTTGCGCCAATTAGATTAAAAAAGGTTCGAGAGAAAATTAAAGCACCGTGGTACAACAGTGCTACGCATGCTATCAAGAGAGAAACTCGCAACTTAGAGCGTAAATGGAAACAAACTAATTTAGAGGTCTTTAGAATCGCGTGGAAAGACAGTATGTCACGTTATAAAAAGACACTAAAAACAGCCAGGGCTGAGCATCTCCGCAAACTAATCGAAAATAACCAAAATAATCCAAGGTTTTTATTTAACACCGTGGCTAGACTAACAAATAAACATACATCACCAGAGCAAAATATACCTTTACAGTTTAGTAGTAATGATTTTATGAATTACTTCAATGCGAAAATAGAAAGCATCCGAAACAAAATTATAAATGTACAATCCGCTATGGTGTCTTATGATTCAGCTTCAATTATGGACCCTCTAGAACAACTAAACCGCTTTACAACGATAGGACAGGAGGAGCTAAATAAACTTATCATTGCATCTAAACCAACAACTTGTTTATTAGATCCAATACCCACTAAACTACTGAAAGAACTATTACCTACAGTGGAAGAGCCTCTCCTCAATATTATTAACTCGTCTTTATCTTTAGGTCATGTCCCAAAAATATACAAGCTGGCTGTAATAAAACCGCTCATTAAGAAACCGCAATTAGATCCAAATAACTTGGCAAATTACAGACCCATTTCAAATCTTCCATTTATGTCCAAAATACTTGAAAAAGTAGTGTCCGCTCAATTGTGCTCTTTTTTGCAAGAAAATGATATCTATGAAAAATTCCAGTCAGGATTCAGACCGCATCATAGTACAGAAACTGCGCTAGTTAAAATTACAAATGATTTACTTTTAGCTTCTGACCAAGGCTGTATCTCAATACTAGTCCTACTTGATCTTAGCGCTGCGTTCGACACTATAGATCATATAATACTCTTGGATCGACTACAAAACTTCACCGGTGTCCAGGGACAGGCATTAAGCTGGTTTAGATCGTACTTATCGGACCGTTCTCATTTCGTCTGTTTAAATGGGAAAAAATCAAAGATAACGTCAGTAGACTATGGAGTACCGCAAGGATCAGTTTTAGGCCCTCTGCTATTCTCAATATATATGCTGCCACTTGGTAATATTATAAGAAAACATGGAATTAATTTCCACTGTTACGCTGACGACACTCAATTATATATTTCATCACGACCAGATGAAAACACTAACTCATCTAAAATGACAGAGTGTCTCAAAGATATAAAATGCTGGATGACGCGTAATTTCCTGCTATTAAATTCAGATAAAACGGAGGTATTACTTATTGGTCCAAAAAACTACTCACAAAACCTCTCACAATACAACTTTAATATAGACGGATGTCCTGTTACTTTATCCACAACAGTAAAAGACCTGGGTGTTATACTAGACCGCAACTTGTCGTTCGAAAATCATATTTCATATGTTACAAGAACAGCCTTTTTCCACCTTAGAAACATTGCTAAGCTACGTAACATGCTATCTATTTCTGATGCAGAAAAATTAGTTCACGCATTCATGACCTCGAGACTAGATTACTGTAATGCTTTATTAGCCGGTTGTCCTGCATCCTCAATAAACAAGCTACAGTTAGTACAAAATGCAGCTGCTAGAGTTCTTACTAGGTCAAGAAAATATGATCATATAACACCGATTTTATCATCTCTACACTGGTTACCTATTAAGTTCCGCATCAACTACAAAATACTACTACTGACCTATAAAGCCCTAAATGGTTTAGCACCTATGTACTTAACGGACCTTCTTTCGCCCTACAATCCACCGCGTTCCTTAAGATCACTAAATTCAAGGCTTCTGGTCATTCCTAGGATATCGAAGTCCAGTAAAGGAGGGAGGGCGTTCTCGCATTTAGCTCCAAAACTCTGGAATGGCCTTCCCGATACGGTCCGAGCCTCTGACTCGCTGACACAGTTTAAAACTAGATTAAAGACGCATCTCTTTAGTCAAGCATTCACATAATGCTTACCTTCTAGTCCTCTGTTATGCCATACGGAACCGTTTGCCACTGAAACTGCTTAACGCACCAGTGGGGCTCGACAGCCTCTTAGACAAACGGGTCGGCGCGTATGGTTGGGTTGCGGAGAGTTCGGGTTACGGAGAGTTTGTGAGTTATAACGGAAATTATTATGAACATCAGCTATGCTAATTATTTCCCATCTGCCTTTCTGCTGTTATCTCGGGACGCTTGTCCCGAGAAAAACGGCGTTCGTCAGGTCCAGTTTTGTGTCCAGCCTCTCACGGGGATTTCGGATGCCCCAACGCCTGTGATGAGACGACTCAACGCCTGCGATATGTTATGGCGCCGTTTGATTCATAAACAATATTTATATTTAATATTTATATTTAAACAATATGAATGTAAGCCAGAGGAGAACTGGCCCCCGACTGAGCCTGGGTTCTCCCAAGGTTTTTTCTCCATCCAATCTGATGGAGTTTGGTTCCTTGCCACTGTCGCCTTGCTTTTGGCTTGCTTTGAGCTTGCTCAGTTGGGGTTATTTATTTAGTGTTTAGCAATGTTGTTGATCTGTGTTGTGCTACTTACATGTTATCACTGTGAAGCTGCTTTGATACAATCTGTATTGTGAAAAGCGCTATATAAATAAATGTGACTTGACTTGACTTGTTTCTGACCATGTCCATCCCTTTATGGCCACCATGTACCCATCCTCTGATGGCTACTTCCAGCAGGATAATGCACCATGTCACAAAGCTCCAATCATTTCAAATTGGTTTCTTGAACATGACAATGAGTTCACTGTACTAAAATGGCCTCCACAGATAGAGCATCTTTGGGATGTGGTGGAACGGGAGCTTCACGTCCCACAAATCTCCATCAACTGCAAGATGCGATCCTATCAATATGGGCCAACATTTCTAAAGAATGCTTTCAACACCTTGTTGAATCAACGCCACGTAGAATTAAGGCACTTCTGAAGCTAAAGGGGGTCAAACACAGTATTAGAGTGGTGTTCCTAATAATCCTTTAGGTGAGTGTACACATATATATTACAAGTTAATACTTTAAAAGTTATAAATTCCAGATTCATCATTACAAATTAAAAGTTTTAAGTATATTACTTAAGATGTACTTAATTGAGTCAAAAACACTCTACAGTTAAGCTAATCAATTTAAAAAAGATTCATCATATATAATACATTTTAATTTAACTTTACGTTTAGTTCACATTTAAGTATATTATTTGTGAAATAATTAATGATTTTAAAAGTATGCAATAAAGTGTACTTTTTTCACAATTAAGAGATACATTTCAAATGAACTGAATTTTGGGATATTATTAATCAGCTTACATTTATTTACTTCCACTTGTATATCGCATTTGTTCATGTAAATGCCAGTTTTGGGGTCTCGAGAACTTTCACAATATTCTTTGTCCATGTCCATGCATTCAGTAAAGGGGTACATTTTGGAATTATGACTTGTAATTTTCTGCTGCTTCCAGTCAGTCAAACCCAATTTGTGTGTCTTGATCTTTAGATCCCAATAGTTTTGATATAGTTCATTTATAGGAATTTGATTTCCAGCATCCATTAATCGCATTTTTTAACTTGTATTCCAGAAGAAGTACTATTTCAACCTGGACCCCGGCTCCACACAAGCCTCAGGATACTGTTTGAACCAAAAGTCTGTTCTCTCACTGAGTTTTGCTGGTGGAAATCTGGAGTTCACTTTCATCAAGGTACCTACAGTATCATCAGTATGCATTTATGACACGTTTCTCTTAACTGTAAAATATGTGCATAACATCTAGCCTTAATGAACATGCAATTCAGTATTTCGCCACCCTTGCAGGAAGGCAATGTCTTCTATGTGACGAAAATCACAGGTCTTCTGATGCCTGTCCCCACTTGTAAAAATTGCCAGAGTAAGTATAAATTACACTGATGGAAACCATCAGGAACCCTGTGATATACAACCGTTTACACAACATTGTTTTCCAATTAAAAACGGAAAACTTTTTATTAGGGCTCCCTTTTTGAGCACCTAATCATGCACTTATCGTGAAATTAAGCATACAATGTTTACATGCATAACACAGGTACGTTTAAATGACATCAATGTACTAAAAATGGAAATGTTTTTCCTTTGCGTTTTCTGCGTACAGATGACATTGTTGTCAAACCGTTCCCCAATCACACGAATCCATGAAAACGACTGTATATTATTCATGCCAGACCAGTAGGGGGCGATGTCACTTTGTAAAGAAAGACTATAGACTGAACACGTGATACATGGCGCCAGTGTTTTCACAGATTCATGTTTTTGTAGTTTACACAGAGACAGAGACGATAACCGTATCTTTTTCAAAACCTGCAAGTTTGTGTTTTCAGGCCTTCAAAATATCGTTGTTGTGTAAATGAACGGCCAAAACACATATAAAAGAGTGAGTGTTACAAAAACATGTCAAGTCATATTTCACACCAAAAAAGTGTATATATATATATATATATATATATATATATATATATGGGCTGTCAAACGATTAATCACGAAAATCGCATCCAAAATAAAAGTTTGTGTTTATATGTGGGTGCACTGTGTATACCCAGGTAGCAAACAGACGTTGGCCCAACGTTGGCCCAACGTCTGTTGTTGTGTTGGGCCAACGTTGGGTGCTGACGTTGGCCCAACGTAATTTTGTCCGTTGGGCCAACGTTGAGCCAACCATCTCATTGGATGGCCAGCAGACCTTCTGCCAACCAAAAAACCACGAAAACAACATTGGGCCAACGTTGGGCCAAAGGTGGCAAAGAAAATGCAGAAGGAGACAAAAAACAAACAAACAAACAAAAAAACACTGAGTTGCTCTGACGATGAAGACGGAGCGGAGGAGGAGAAGCAGCATACTCCTGTTAAATAAAAACAAACATAAACAACTTTTTAGAGCATTTAAGATATGTGTCGTTTTATTTTTGAGTGTATATTTTTTGGGGGGGGAAAGTAGGATTTATTTTCTCGCCAGCAAGAGATTTTCATCATGTTGGGGTAGCAAATTTATTATACATCTATAGTGTACGCCTAGTAAAGATGAAATACCTCTGTTTAGTGGTGGGGTTAGACAGAGGAAGAAAAAAAAACAATTATTGGAAGACACTTACATTCACTTTCACTGCTGCTGGAATCTAATTGAGGGGGAGCATCTGCTTTTCTGTGTTAAAGAAAAAATATAGTAATTATCAAAATGTAAATTACTTAAAATGTATATATGAACATATATATATATATATATAATAATTAATAACATTTTGGATCAGCCTTAAAAATGCCTTGTGTACCTTTTTCTATTGCTCTTTTTTTTCTTCCTCCATTTCGGTCTCCACTATACTTCAGCCAGGTTTTTATTTTTTCCTCTGCTTCCACCACTTTTGCCCCTTGTCTTTTGGCTGCATCTGTCAGCATGACATTAAAGAATTTTTTTTTTTACTTGCATTGCATTTCATTCAATGACACATTATGTGAAACTGTAATGGGTTGTTTTCTCTTTTGCAATTTCAAGACAAGTTATGTCTTAGTTTTGAATGTTTTTTTTTTTTTTTTAAACACATCACCTATGACAACTTTTGCTAGCAAAAGTGTAGAAAATGGGCTCTTCTGTCCTCTCCCTTGCCAATTAAAATTGTTGGCCAACTCATTGGTCATTATTTCCCTCATCATTCTGTGGACAATGTCTTTAGCAGATGTTCCACCCAAGCTGGTAAGATATCTTGTCTTTGAAAAAAAAAAAACATGTGTTAAGCACCAGTAAACCAGGTCTAGATCTCTACATATAATATAATATAGTTAGATATTAATAATATGTTAGTATTCGTTTAAGTGAAGAAAAAGAACTTTAGAATTTACTAGAGAACGTTGTGTGTCTCTGTTTGACAGCCTATCCTCCAAATCTTTTATGCCGGTCATGCTCCTTAATGGAAACTGAAACTCCTCATTCACAACTTCAGCAGCATTCTCTCTTCGCAAAATCGCCTGAAGGAGGAGCGTATTCTGCCTGACCTGAGTCTGACCCTTTATCTCTTCCAGCATCTGGTAGAGCCGGAGTTCTCTTTCTGAATCAGACAAACATACGATGCAACATTATAACTATGTAACGCTCAGCCTAATTAAGGCAGGATACACCACAAAATATACGGTTTAAACCCTCTATAAATTCTTTAAATGAAATTGTTCTCTTTACTCACACCATAAACACAACAGCAAACAAGATGTTATAATACCTCAAAGTGTATTAAATACAAAGCACCAACAATCAACATCTACAAACTATAAAATAAGTCCAGTGAGTGTGTGAGTGTTCCAATCCAGTGTAAGTGACTTAGGTAAAGTTGGTTTTATATTCACACATTCGCACATTCGCGTTAAAGAACTTTTTCAATTAAATAGTCAATGAAGCAATTTTTTTTCAGATTCGAAGCATCAACATGATATTGACAACAAAGATAGTGAACTACAACCTTTTCTACAATCGAACAAAATGGGCAAGTATATTTTTGATGCATGCATAATTTAGCGAATATTCAATGTAGTGTGGTAACCAAGATAGGGACCGTCTAAAAATTTAACATCGTTTTTCATTGTGTGCAAACAGACAATTACATTGTAGCCAACCAACTACAGATGTACCAGAAAATATCTCTCACATTATGTGTTCTAATGCAATAGAATGTCTTTTAGCAACAATAAAACTGCATTATAATGATGGTGTTTAAAAAGGTGTTTAGGAAATAATAAAGAATGAACATGTCGGCTACATGAACTGTAATCTGGTAACAATCCAGACTGTAGAAAGTGGAAAATCATGTGTAATCTCCTGAACATAGTTAATCACTTCATGTTACACCTGTTTAAATTTTTGTTTATCTAATTATTTGAAATCAAAATGAACAAGAACAGTGTTGGTGTTGGCTTTAATAATAACATATGATTTATTTCAATAGGTTTTGAAAGGATGGGCCGACTGTTCCTAAGCAAGTTGGATCGTCTTGTCTGGACCCTAAAGAACATACTACTACAGCCCATGTCTTTCTGTTTTATCCACCTCTGTTGTTCTGTTTTTAGGTGTAATAAAGACTTTACAGTGTGACAGTGTTCTCCAGGCGCTGAATAAAAAGAAAAGCCCAACAGTTTTTTATTCTTTCCTGTTGTTTGGCATCTTCAGTTAACATTAAACTCTCACAATAACACAATTCGTTTGCATTGATTGATGTTTACAGTCCTGCAGAAATATCACTGTCCATGGTACTGAATCCATCAGATTATTGACAAGTACTCAGAAAGGGAAAGCATGAAAGCAAACATGATGTTGTTTTGGGTGTGAAGGGTGTGGATTTTGGAATAAACTGCTGCTTCATGTATATTTTGACTGATTATAATCAAAGATTTCCTTCTAAATATCACATGATTGGAATGACTTACATAGGCATATTAGATTTTACTTAGTTATAGAAGTTACCAGTATGATTACTTAAATGTTTGTTTCATGTTTTTTTGTCTGTATTTGATATCTGAATGTAGTAACAGTGCTTGCTCATTTAGTGGTTCTGTGATCTTTGTAATGGCCTACAAACTCCTGTGAGAGTCTTGAAGCTGACTTCTGTTGTTGAAATTAAAAACTATCTTAAGTAAATCTTTAATTTATTATAATTCTGACTCCTGCTCTTCATTCATCATATCTGGTTCTGGGTCTTTGCCTGCATGTGCGCCCCTAACAGGTGAACATTTAAAAAAGTAGTATAACTCCTATGGGGTTCTTCAATAGCACATCTTCCATCAAAAAAATATTACATTATCTAAATATATCTATCACTGTAATGGCAGAAAACAGTAACTTCTCTACTTCATGGATGTATTTAAAGAAGAATGATTTGCTTTAAAAGAACATTGAAACAAAAGTACAGTTTGACAATATATCTCCCTTACTGTTCGTACAATTATCAAATGTTTATTTAAAAAGTACTGTAATTCCCCTAAAGTATTCTTTTTTGTGTGTTTCAAAGGCTGTAGTGCTTTCCTAGTGACCACACTGACTCACTACAGGTGAAATTTGGACAATAAACCCTTTACTGTATGTACAATAAACTAATAAGTTTAAGAAAAAATTACTGTAATTCCCCTAAAGTACTTTTTCACGTTCCCAAAGGCTGTAGTCCTTTCCTACTGATCAGACTGACCTACTACAGGTGAAATTTGGACAATAAACCCTTTACTGTATGTACAATAAACTAATAAGTTTAAGAAAAAATTACTGTAATTCCCCTAAAGTACTTTTTCACGTTCCCAAAGGCTGTAGTCCTTTCCTACTGATCAGACTGACCTACTACAGGTGAAATTTGGACAATAAACCCTTTACTGTATGTACAATAAACTAATAAGTTCAAGAAAAAATTACTGTAATTCCCCTAAAGTATTTTTTCACGTTCCCAAAGGCTGTAGTCCTTTCCTACTGATCAGACTGACCTACTACAGGTGAAATTTGGACAATAAACCCTTTACTGTATGTACAATAAACTAATAAGTTCAAGAAAAAATTACTGTAATTCCCCTAAAGTACTTTTTCCCGTTCCCAAAGGCTGTAGTCCTTTCCTACTGATCAGACTGACCTACTACAGGTGAAATTTGGACAATAAACCCTTTACTGTATGTACAATAAACTAATAAGTTCAAGAAAAAAAAACAGTAATTCCGCTGAACTATTTTTTCCTGTTCCAAGGGCTGTAGTGCTTTCCCAGTGACCACGCTGACGTACTTCAGGTGAAATTTGGACAATAATTCATTTACTGTACGTACAATAAACTAATAAGTTAAAGAAAAAAATACTGTAATTCCCCTAACGTATTTTTTCCCATTTCAAAGGCTGTAGTCCTTTTC